ATAAATAATATAGCACTTGGGGGTAAAATGGGTTTCAAAACTGTGAAATATGTTGTGTTGAGGGTGTGTGTGTGTGTGGGTGTGGGTGTGGGTGCTTTCAAAACTGTGAAACATGTTGTGTTGAGGGTGTGTGTGTGTGTGTGTGTGTGTGTGTGGCTTAAATACATCAGATGTGTTAGTTTAGCTACAAAGTCTGAAGATGTATTCATAAGGATTACATAATCATTTAGTTTATCAATTTTAAATATGTATTTACAGAGTTCCAGAGAATATGACTTTCAGAACTTAAATAGACCTTTGGAGTTTTAGGGTAATTCTTCATTTTTAAGGTCAGAGACTGAGGTGGCAGGGGTAAATGATTTGGTATCCAACATGGTCACGAAACCAGGTCCAGGGGACCGGATGGCAACATGATGGTAAAGTCAGCTGGATCCCACATGGCTGACAATGTGGTTCAAGTCCTGGACCTGGTGGCTTGAAAAACATGCTGGGCACATATGTACATGTCTAAAATCCAGCCCACTCCCCCCAAAAAAGGAAAAATGGAGGAAAAGAGATTGCATCATGGCCATCTCTCATGGGAGGTGCTTTCTCATTTTCCCTCTCTCTCTGTCTCTCCCCAGTGAGTGCACATACCCTGCAGCAAGTTAAAAAACAAAAATAAAAAAATCAGATAAAGAGAGCTTTCTTCACACCTAGTTAGATGGCCTTCCCAACAAAGTGGTCGATGAGACATGAGTTCCTAAATTAGAGAAAATTTCAGAGAGCAAAAATTACTAAAACAATTGAAAAACTTCATTTACAAAGGCAATAATTCAAAAGTATTCTTTTACAAAAGCACATTTGCAAAGATATTCTGCATTATTAAACCACTGAGTTGTGAGACTGCTTTTCAAGCCTCTCTACAAGAAGAGGTGTCCTTACTATTCCGGTCAAGCAGCTCCACTCCAGGAAGGTGGTAGATCGTATACAAACGGTACAGGTTGTATTGACACAAAGGGTTTTGGTATAGACCTGCAAGGGAGGAACCCAAAATAAAATTTTAGATTTTAAAATGAGTTTCACTGATCACTTGAGAAAGTACAAGAAGCATCAGGATGCATGTAAAACACAAGGACTCATATAGCAAGTCAGTGGCCTCAAGAAATCCTTATTAAGAGCACCATTTAATTTTCCTATCTGTTAAATTCATTCATTCACCAAGTATTTACTGAGTTCTTACTATCTCGAGGATATCTGCTGAGAGCTGGAGACATATCATTGATCCAAATCTGCCACAAATAAGGATTTTTTTTTTTTAAGAGATTTTTACTGTAGGGTGTGTTTGCTTGCCTGAGAGACAGAGACAGAAAGGGAGAAATCAGACCCGGGGGAATGGCCACGTTGAAATCCCTTCTCTTCATTCTCCTCTCTGGATTTTGGGTATGCTCACACACGTCCCAGAGTTGAGTTTTAAGCCGGTGGGTTCTGTACTCCAACTTGTTGGCTACATTTCCATGTAGTCCAGCGATGCAACCATTACGCCATCTGCTGGTCCCGAAATAGGGAACATTTGAACACGTTCATTAGTAAAAAGAACTAGGTATCAGCTTTATGGGCGTCTTGAGGCTGCCTTTTTATTAAAATGCCACTTGGTACCCTTTATAGTCTCAAAGGTCACGAGGGCACCTGTGAGCAGATGGGCAGATGCACTAAGCTGTCGTTACAGAATTTTCCTCCTCCACTTCACTTTGCACATAGTTCAGAATATATAAATGCCAGTCACAGCCTCAAATCCAGCAGGAGCGGAGCCGAGCAGTTGCGGACCTTGTATCTCGTCTACCTCTGACCAGCCACATGCGGTTGAGAGCTTAGCCTGGATAGGATAGGATAGGATAGGATAGGAAATCAACTGTGCTCTCTCATTGGGGCTGGAGAAGGGAGGCAGGTGGACGCAGAAGCCCTCCTAGCACTTCGGTTGTTGCATTCCTTCGGATTCAGCATGTAGGTCTATTTTTTTAAATGCCAGAAATTGAGAGGGCTTTATTTTCACGTACAGTATTTCCCCCCTATTTTTATCCTTAGATTATATTGTGTTAAACAGGGTTTTAATGTAATGTGAAATAAAGCTTTTATAATTTCCAGTTGGGCAACTTCAGCTCTTTGGATTCTGCCTGCATGCACTTTCTAGAAAATACTTCTGAAAATTACATATGGTGAGGAGCACCACTAGATGGCAGTAGCAGAAAGAGCTCCAGCTAGTCCTCAATCATATCCCTCCACGCAATGAGGCTCCCTTCGCGCACATGGTAAATGTCAGAGTGCTGCTGTAGACTACTCATAAAATAAGAGAAGGCTGATAAAGGCATGAAAATAGTAAGCATTAGAAACCCAGGGGAAGGACTGGTTAATATTTATAAAGAATAGTTTGCAACATAAAAAAAGATATGGGAGTGGGGAGGAAGGGCATACTTAGAAGATAGCAATTCAGTTAAAACGGAAAAGTCAATCATCTGATGTGTTCTCTGTCGGTAGTAAAACATTCTGATATTTGTTGTACAAACACAAATTTTTCTGGCTAATAAAATCATTATATATAGCTACTCCCTGTGGAAAACGTGAGCTTTCGAGGGACATAAAGCCGGCAATGGAAGACACCTGGTGCACAATAAGCAAAAGTTATAAGCGTGAGGAAAGGCATAAAAGAAAATATAGAGCCAGGAGCAACAAAGACATTTAAAAGGGAGGAAATATAACGGAGGAAATGAGAGGGAAAATGAAACAGAAATTTTTCAAGATTTCTTAAGTGACAGAAAATGATTTGAATTTTATTCTTAAAAGAGAAAGAACTTAAAATGGCAACAAATAATTACAACTACAGGATAGGGGATAGAACAGATGTCTATTAAACCAGTAATAAGGGCAGATTTAAAAGATCCTCCGGGCTCACACACTGTAGTTTAGGCCAGAGGAAAAAAGCACATCACAATTGTTTTTAAGGAGAATTTAGGAGAAAGAAGAAGTCACAAATGCTTTAGTGCAGAAGTCTGCTTTGTGGTTATGGTCTTGGGGAATAACATCTGACACCTCTTAACCCTGCAATACGTAGCAGCTGGAAGTAGGTTCTGCCTTTGCATACCATAGCAATGGAAAATGTACCAGCATCTTTAATGACTTTTTTCTCTTGGTGCACCCTTAATATTCTCTTTCTCCACTAAAAGCATTGCTATTTCATTTCTTTTCTTGGCTCCCCCCCAAAAGAACCTGTAGTTAAGTAACTTCTTTATATAACTTTTAAAACACTAGTTTTAGGGGCTGGCATAATAGTTAACGTCGCTGGACTCCTACGTAGTGAACTGCAGTTGAGTCCTACACCCGGCAGCTTAAAACTCATGCTGGGCACATGTATGTGCGTGCCCAAAAGCCATCCCAAGGGGAGAATGGGGGAGATGAGACTGTGGAGAAGGGACTGTGGTGTGGCCTGGGGGCGGGTGATTTCTCACTTTCTCTCAGTCTCTCTCTGTCTCTCTGGTGAATGCATGGGCCTTACAGCAAAAATCTCTCTAAAAAAAACAAAAACAAACAAACAAAAAACAACTCTAGTTTTAGCTAAACATACCACCCAACTTGGATTGACTACTGTTATATTACTTATTAACAAGCTGTCTTGTTAATAAAAACTGTGTGCTTGCTGTGATTCACCACTTAGCTCACCCTAAGGTAAAATCTGAGGGACAGAAGAAAAAAAACCCAACTAAGTGTTTAGGCCAGTTTTTGTTAAGTTTCCTTCAAAAAGTTAAATCTCAATTTAATATTTGATTACATTAAATTAAATATTTGATTTAGAATAACTTGAAAGGCATGTCATCTTTATTATTCTCCACCTTTTCCTAGCTCTTACATTTCAGAAAGAAGCAACTCTCTCTTTTTTTTTCCTTCTGTATTATCAAACATTTAACATGCTTGGATTTATGAGTTTTGGATTGATGCTACTAAAATTATCATAAATTAAATTTCTTAGATATGAAATCAGTTTCCTGTGTCTGAATGTTCTGAAAGCTTTCTATGATGTATGGGCACATTCCTTGAGAAACTATGAAGTGAAATTGCTTACACTTTCACTTTCAATAGGTTAATACTATTTAATCCACCTTCCCTCTAGGCTACTTATAGAGTACACCTCAGTGGCGCCAGCACTGTCTTGCTTATCTTAATTTGGGATTCTGAGTCTAAGCAATTTACATTCACCCAATAAAATATCAAAATGTCTCTACTACCTTTCTGCACAAGCTTGAGTTACATGAGTCACATGTGAAGCTACTTATTATTGAAACAGAAGAGGAAAAAAAAATGCAGTCATCTAAATAATTGGCTCCAGTTAATGTTTTTGAGATTTTCAGTAGAATTAAAAGTCATCATTTAAATAAACCCAAATGTTCTTAAGGCCACCACTGAAGAAAGTTGATGTAATTAATAAAGAACCAACATCTTCATTTTAATAGATTAGGAAAAATAATACAGGGAGATTAAAAGCCTGTGCAGAACAGCCTGTGGAAAGTTCACTTGTCAATGATCAGACACCCAGATTTTGAGGTAAGTTCAATTGTCAATGATCAGACACCCAGATTTTGAGGTTCTGAGGTTCTGGGTCACTGTTCTCAGTGGGTCAGCATTTCCTTTTTTCTTTTTTTTTTTTTTTTTAAAGGTTTTTTGCCATACGGTGCTTGTTGGAGAGATAGAGACAGTGAGATAAAAAGTGAGAAATCACCCCCCAGGGAACTAGCCATGTCACAATCCCTTTTTCTCCATTCTCCTCCTGAGATTTTGGGCATGCATACACCCAACATGAGTTTCAAGCCACTGGATCTGGGACTTGAACCCCAGTTGGCCAAGTGGGAGTCCAGTGCCTTAACCACTATGCCACCTGCTGGCCCCTCCATTTTCTAAGTTTACTTATTTCTTCCATGAGTGAGACAGAGAGATAGAGCCACTACTCTCAATAGGGTTTTGATACTGTGATCCACCCCCAGCTTCAGTCAGCCCTTAGTCATGGGCACACATGTGTACTGTGTACTCAGGGAGCCCTTTAGGGGTTACTGGGAACCTGCCAGAATCAGCCTCATGGTGGTATTGCATTTACCACTGCAGCACTGTCTGGCCCCTCTACTCTTACCCCTCTCCCCCCTTTTTACAAAATAACTACACTTTAGTGTGTGTGTGCATATGCGTGTGCTTTAGTCATGATAGAGCACATGCACACACATGAGAATAAGAGATGAAGAGAGAGCGAGATGAGCACCCTCCCCAGTGTTTGGTCACACTGTGGTCCTCTTCCTCCAGTCCTCCAGCCCATCACATCTCGGACACTTAACCATGTGTGTACAGTATGTTTCAGGCTGACCAGGCTGGGAATTTCAGCTACAGTTGCCATAGGGAGTCCAGCTTCTCTTGAGTAGCACATTACTGCTGCATCATGGAGCTGGCACTCAGTTTAACTAAACTCTGCAGGTGATCACACACCCCATGTTTTGCTGAATATAAAAATAACCTCGGGGGCCAGCAGTTAACATAATGGCTATCTTGCTGGACTCCCACATGGTCAACCATGGTTAGAGTCCTGGAACTGGCAGCTTGAAACTTACAGAGTGTGTGTGTATGCATGCTCAAAATCCTGAGAGGAGAATGAAGGAGAGGGATTGCGGCTTGGCCATCTCCCCGGGTGGTGATTTCTCACTTTCTGTCTGTCTCTCTGGTGTCTGTCTCTCTCTCTGCTGAGTGCACGTGCCCTATAGCAAATATATATATATGTGTGTATATATATATATATGAACATTCACTTCTAGACAAACAGCAGTAAAAGACCTAGTTGGTTCTTTATATTTGGACTATTTTGTTATTTGGAAGGGATTTCTCATTTTTAAAGGTGTTATAGGCAAAAAGGATCAATTGCAGACCCTTGTGACAGCACTATCTCCCTGTTCGCCCTGGCTTTTTGTCATCATCAGAGGGTTGGGACACTGAGTGGAGGAAGTCCC